GTTAGGTGGCCTCTTCGGGTAGAGTGCCATTCACTCACAGGTTAACAGATTACCATAACAAGGGTAGTGTGCTGAGGAATATTTTTGAATTCTCAATTTGCCAGATGTGCATCTAATTTTCATTTTTTTTTCCATCTAATTCATACATGTTACAAATTAACTTTTTTAAGGTAGGCACCATGCATTGCACTTGCCCTCAACACCAGTCACTGCTTGGTCTTCATATTCGAGTGCAAGTTACCATAATTAACTTTTGCAAACGTTTTGTTGTTGTGTATCAAAATTATTGGTTGGTCAAGGCAAATCAGAGTCAATTGTCTTCATCAAGTGTATATTCATATTTATAGAGATTTTAGATTGATCACTGTTTGCAAATGGTCCCCAAATGGTCTAAAACTCTTCATTTTTCATAGGCATTATGTGGTCTCCCCATCAATACCTACTTCAGTGCAGTGAAGTTAAGATGGCTGCTTGACAATTGCGAGGCTGTGAAAAAGGCAGTAGAAGAAGATCGGTGTCTATTTGGAACTGTAGACTCATGGCTGATCTGGGTATTGAATGTTCATAACATGTTATTAATTTTCTTTACTTTGTCGTTTTAACAAACCATGCAACATGTTGGATGAATATTTAACACAAGAGGAGATTGTAGACAGAATTTGAGGCTACGTTTCTTAACAAACTAGTTGGGCCTCAGGCAGTCACATGTCAGAATTTACTAGCCAACAAAATTTATCAAAAATGGCGCATTGAAACTCATAAAACTGTTGACATCAGAGAAGTTAACTTAAATAAATTTGCAGTTTCAACTTTCATGTAATTCCCACTGTGTTCAGCTGTTTTTCACTAACCAAAGAGGTTGGGCAGCGGTAGAAATATAAAACTTACCAGCCATTTGTGAATTTTTATCTGTCTGTGGCTACTTGGCTCTGTAGTCCTGGTAAATTTCAACCAAAGGCAAGATATTTAGTTCAGCTATTTCAAGCTCAATTCAAATACTTGTTTAATTGTTTGAGAAGAACACTGCCTTCCTCTCAGGAAATTGACGTTATGATAGTGACAAGATATTAAATGATCAAGAATATTTTGAAAGTGATTAATTGCTCACAAGAATTTGTTATTCTGTATACTTCAGAACATGACAGGTGGCTCAAAAGGGGGCTTACATATCACAGACATCACAAATGCCTCACGAACAATGTTCCTCAACCTTAAAACACAAGCTTGGGATCCATACTTGTGCAAGTAAGCTTAACATTTTGTATCTGCTGAAAAGTCTTTCAGACACCAGAGACAATACCATACATGCACACCAATACAAGGAAGAAGTGCAAACAATTTTTGGTCTGGTAATGGTCTCATACACTTGGCCTGCAATTCACATATTTAAATGGTTGAAGGTCATAGTTCTCTTTAATTTCCAGTTCTCAACAGACCANTGTCCTCTCACAGAATGGCCTGCTTACAACAGTAGCTTATAAGATGGGACCTGACCAACCTACAGTCTATGCATTAGAGGTGAGTACAAAAACATTATACTTATGAATGGCAGTGAGACTGATCTTGGAAAGGGACTCTGGTCAACCATATGAAGGAAGAGCTAATACTGCAATAACACTTGTGGCTGCAATGATAATCATAGTTATGCCAAGCCTAAGTCCGTTACAGCCAACTGTTGATTACTTGACCTTGTTGGAACCCCTACATCAAGGGATGCCCAGGAATTGGAATTGGGGCAGAATATGGTGAAATAATACTTTGAAAAAGAAATGAAACTTGTGCTCCACACTAAGTACTTCAAACAAGCCTTATTCTTAAGGTATCCAGTGTCATTGGCTCAAAATATCAAACAAAGTACTTTGGCTGTGTTTAAATCAATTTTTTTTATCATTTATTTAGTTCTCACCAAACTGATGAAAACATTTTTTGTCCTGGCTGAATGGTTTATTGGTGTGAGGTATTAATTTGAGAATACATCGGTACTCAACCAATCATATTTCAGACTGAAATTTTTCAACCCATAATATTGTGTCAACATCTTTGAAATGTTGTATTACAGGGTTCCGTTGCTATCACTGGAGCAGCTGTCAAATGGTTAAGAGATAACCTTAATCTTATCAGCAAGGCATCAGAGATTGGTAAGATAGACATTGTCATATAAAGGTAGTATATAGCGTAAAGTGGACCTTGTATTTTTCACTGTGTAAGGATTCTTAATAGAATTCCAGCACATTGATAATTAATAAAATCTGTCACCATATACCAGTAGTCTAGGTTTAAAGATGACATGAATACATTGTACTCATAGCTGATAGGACTAGATGCTTTGGAGCAATTAAGTGATATACAGTATTTCATCATGAGTCGTGGTTGCCACAGACATCACTTTTCAAAATTACCTGATTTTTCCCTGATAAAATAGCATTTCCGCGAACAAAAAATACAAAATGTCAGATCTAGTAGTGGCCTCTAGCATGAACTTACAGCTGCCCTTTCTACTCATTCATTAATGCAGATACGTTTTCAGCAAATTTCCTTCTTCATTAAGGAAAAATATCGTTGAGATCACAGCAGTGATCCTAAATGTTTCTTCCAGTCTTCAATGGTATTAAATCAATTTTCCCTGACTTTTCTTTGAAATGTCAATTTTTTTCCCAACTCAAAATAAAATTCCCTGACCTTGAAGAATTTTTTCCTGACCATTTCTTGACCTGTGACAACCCTGTAAGTTGTCACAGATTGTAAGCTGGCCCATGAAACATGTATTTTAAAGCTAAAAATTAAACCATCCTGTGCAATTTTTTCCCGAGCTCTTGCCAAGAACTGGCAAGTTTTTTACCACCGAGTTTTTGATGAGCTCACTTCTTGCCAAGATTTGCAACACACAATAATCATGACAAGCTCCCAGCCAAGCAACCTACCAATAAAAAAATGAAAATGACCAACAAGTCAAACTAAACGACACTGTTTATTACTTTAACAAACATTTTCATGCAGAAACCTTGGCTGCCAGTGTAGACAGTACAGCTGGTGTGTACTTTGTTCCTGCATTCTCTGGCCTTTATGCACCATACTGGCAAACAGATGCTAGAGGGTATGACTGTTTTTAATAATACTCAATTATAATAATCCTGCTGTTAAACCTGTCAATGAAGGCTTTCAGCCATATTGGTGTCCAGGCATCCTGTGAATGCCCTCTTTTTTGAGAGTACAGTAGAACCCTGGTAACTCGAACTCTGAAGGGAAACGAAAAACTGTTTGAGTCGGCGGGGTTTCAAGTTATCTGGGTCGATGAAAATATTCAATTTTCCAGGTTAATAATTAATAATTTATTGATTTTCAGCAAATTATACTTACTTCACGAGAAACAAATACATTTTGTAACAACTGTAACAATTATGTATTCTTACGACATTGCAATACTGTGAATGTAACTTAGTTTATTTAATACACTCAATGATCGGTAAATAACTGTCAAATACATGATCTCTTCATTGCACTCCAGTCTTTTTTCTAGTGTTAGAATTCGATCACATGATAAGAAAAGCTAATGGGATATCTCAATCGGCATCTGTGGCGAGTTTTAAGAACCAGAAATTTGAGTTATCGCAGTAAATTTTGATCAAAGGAAACAGAATTTAGTTTAAGTTAACGGGGTTTGCAAGTTATCCGAGTTGGACTTAACCGAGTAAAAATGACTGAAAAGTTGGGTCAAATTCAAGGGAATTGAGACTCAGTTAAAGTTAGCGGGGGAGTTCGAGTTATCTGAGTTTGAGTTACCGGGGTTCTACTGTATATGCATACGTGTAGTCTCCCCATTGTGATTCTACTGTTTATCTTGTTTAGGGTTATCATCGGACTGACTCAGTTTACAAACAAAGCACACATAGCAAGGGCTACACTTGAAGCAGTTTGTTTTCAGACGAGAGAGGTAAGAGCCAGAACTGGTGCAACAACCCGACTTGTTATTGAGTGAGACCCTGTTTGGAGGCAAAGGAGGGGGTTGGTATTTCCCATCTGGGTTTCTCATGTCACAATTTTAGAAGGTCCTTATATCACTGTCAGAACATAGAACTACACAGGTCATGTTGTTCATTGTCAGTTTGTTGACTTCTAATGACCCTGTTTCAACACCATGTTGCATGTCGGGATTTTATCTTAATGATTAACAGAGCCTAGCTCTCAAGTGGACCAAATCATGCTAAATGTTATGATAGTCTATTCCTTTTCATATAATCTTGCTCTTTTCAAAAAAAATATTATATCAATGTCTGATTCTATTTTTGAAATGGTAGCTCTTGGATGCAATGAACATGGATTGTGGGATTCCTTTGGCATCTCTCCAAGTTGATGGTGGAATGACAGTGAACAACTTGTTGATGCAACTTCAAGCTGATATCCTGGGAATTTCTGTAGGCAAGTAGAGGGGTTTTTTTCACAAATAACAGCAGCTGTTACTTGAAATTAAACTATATGCACAGTTCCCAGTCATCATATTTCTAAGGGTATTTTCTTTTTTTGTTTCTGGTCAATGGTAGTCCGCCCGACAATGCCAGAGACTACAGCCCTGGGGGCGGCAATGGCTGCAGGCATGGCCAAAGGAGTGGATGTGTGGACAATTAATCCAGAGGACAAGTCTCAAATAAACACTGATGTGTTTGAACCAGCTATTGATCCACATGGTAAGATCAACTTGTATGCTTGTTGGTGCATGTGTCACTGGGAAGGGGGGATGCATTAGGGGATTACGTCTGTCTTCAACCGTAGATAAAAAGATGTGTGGCTTACCAAGTCAGTGCTTAATTCCAGTTCCCATTGTGCAAAGCAACTAAAATTTTATTCTTCGGGGAACTATGGGAGTGAAAAGGTACCCT